TAAACCAATTTATTTAGGAACTCTGTATTAAAAATTTTGTCCATTTACATGTATTACAGTGACACATTTGGGGATTGTGTAGGGTGTCCAAGAAAAATATAAATAAGGCTGGGGAAGGTATAAGATTCACCCCCGTCCTCAACATTCAGTGTTTCTCTGTTATTTGTTGCTACATGACTTTTAGATGGCTGTATCACCTCTCTAAACAAGATACTCATTTTATGTATTGTTTGTTATGACAGCTGAAGCAGTTCAAGGCAGATAATGCAGAGATCGGTTTCGGCTCTGGGACCCTGGCACTGGATCAGTCCATTGAGAGAACCAACGGCAACATAAAATGGATCAAAGAGAATAAGCAGAATGTTCTGAATTGGTTCAAAGCTGAAACTAAATCCTAATAATGCCCTATACTAAGCCTGTATTTACTTGTACTTCATGTAATTTAAAAATGCATTGTCCTGAAAAATAGATTTATACATAATATGATCATCCTTTAAAAATAAATTGAGACCCAAATTTGCCTGCTGCGCCTTTGTTGTACCTCAGTTTGTTTGAGAAGAAGGGAATTGCAATGTACTGTAAAACTTTAATTAATAGCCTGGGCTTTTATTTGCTTAAAACACTGAACTTACCTTGCCTAAATTTGGGAAAGGCCTTTAATTTTTTTAATGTTTTACAATGCCGATAAATCTGAATGAATAATACTTTGGTGTTCATTGTTTCCGTAAAATGACCATAACGATTGAATTGTGGAGAAGCTAACGATGTGTAGCATGTAGCAACGTTTAAACATTTATATTTCTATGTGCAACCTAAAAAGCTTAGAACTAGCAGGTAAGGATCTGTTGGGTAAGGATTTGTTGTGTTTTTATACTATTTTAAATCACAGGTTTATTATGATTGGAGATTTTTTAAAACCTTGACGTGAAATATTGAGTGTTTTCTTGTAAAATAGGGATAATTAGGGCCTGTGCACCGAGTGGTACTAAGGCCTTAATGATTTTCAAGCATTTATTATTTTTATTATGATTTCTATTTTTGCAGTTGAAGCAGATTAACAGTATCCTTAACAGTATTCAAAGGCAAAGCTCCCACCTTTATATTTGACTTAGATGTACAAAACGTACCCTGAATGGTATATTGACTGTACCTACATAGTGCTTTCTAGTCTTCCGACCACTCAAAGCACTTCATACTACATGTCAAATTCACCCACTGATGGCAGAGGCTGCCATGCAAGGTTGCATCAGTTGAATGAAACTAATCATTCTCACACAGTCTTTGGGAGCAATTTGGGGATCAGTATCTTGCTCAAAGACACTTGCCGACCGGAGGAGCCACTTCTGATTAGTGAACACCCGCTCTACTACCTGAGCCACAGCCGCCTAGGGAACTACAACCTTTTCAGACCCCAAAACTGACAAATTAGACCACAGACAGAAGATTTTGTCCCAGAGTTCCAGTTTTTAGATAGTTTTAATTCAGACATTGACTTGGTCAGTAACACAAACAAACTGACTGATTGAGGCAGAGTTTTAGAGTTACAGTTTTAGAGTCTTCCAAAGACATCACAACAAATAACTAACTCTGCATAATCATTATTGAATTACTGTAATAAGAAAAAACCTGTGGCTGTGAGTTGGCAGCCAAATCAGCCATCACATCTTATTTATCTAATTCCAGCAGATCAGCCAAAGTAGAAGCAAATAACGTAAAGCACAACAAATGTGTACTGTTACTGTACAGTTATATGAAGTCTGTTTATCTTTACTGCTTAAGATAAGATTGCTCTTTATTTCGGGTGCCACCCATTGTTGTAGTTTAAACGGTGGAATGGCCTTCTCCAGCTACACGTACACATTTACATTTGTATCTTATCTATAAAACAGTCCTTTGCAAATTACCCACTTACCTTTGTAGCCTGTTTAACTTTGCATTCAGTAGTTACTAGGCTACTGCTTTTAAAAGTCCCCAGGGTTGATTCAAAGTTAGGAAAAACTTCCCTCTCATATTGTGCACCCTCAACATGGAACTCCTTACAAAAGATTCTTCAGTTAGAGGTGCTGGTACCACCGCTGGAGTTCAAGTCCCTGGTTGCAGATGTCCTTAAGGATGAGTGTAGATCTTTCCCATAGGCTGGATTCTTTAAGCGTAAATAGGTGTCTTGGAAGATGTTTTATGTATGGTATTGTCATTATGTGCTGCCTTTCTTGGCCATGTCTCCCTTGAAAAAGAGATTATATCTCAATGGGCTTTCTCCTGGTTAAATAAAAGTGTAAATAAAAATAAATAAATTACAGGGAGTACATACAATACAATAACCAAAATAAAATAAGGTAATTATAGGCCCTGTAAAAAGATAAAATGCAAGACTTTAATAAAGTGTCAGTGTGTCTGAGAGAAAAGTCTTCAGTCTAGTGGTGTCAGTTGATCGAGTGGTTACAGAACAGAATCAGCTGTGTATGTAGCTTCCAGCTTGTGCTGTGAGCCACTTAGCACATCTGGAAACACTGCGGCAGACGACTGATCCAAAGCCGTGACACCAAGTGTACCTTCACTGTGATATTCAGGTGAAAAGCCTCTGTCTCTATCTGCAAGGAGGAGGACATGTCAGTGGAGAAAAAGAGTGGAGCTTGTATCACTGTGCACTGTTTGGCCTCAAGTGTTGAATATAAAGATGAGTTTAAACCACAATTAACCATCAGGTTTCTTCACCTTTCTCTCAGGAGCAAAAGTCAGCTTTTAAACTCAAAAGAAATGGGGATTTTATGCTTATCATGATAATTATTGATATCAAAAGATATGAAACTTTACACTTTTGGCCATATCGTCCAGCCTTATGTCCAAGCTTTTCTAATTCAGGAGGAGGGTTGTATATTGTATTAAGATCCTGCTGGGGATCAACGTAGGGTCAGGTTTAGTTATTAGCTGAATATTAAGATATTCTAGAAATGTTAATAAAGTTAATAATATTATAAATTCTTAAGTAGGATTAATGAATACCGGGCAGGGTGGCACAGTGATCCAGTGGATAGCACCAGAAGGTCGTGGGTTCAAACCCCGGTTGCCCCGGCCTTTCTGTGTGGAGATTGCATGTTCTCCCCGTGTCTGCGTGGGTTCTCTCTGGGTGCTCCGGTTTCCTCCCACCGTCCCAAGACATGCAGGCTAGGTTGACTGGTGACCCAAAATTGTCCTGAGGTGTGAGTGTGAGTGGTTGTTCGTCTGTGTGGCCCTGCGATGGATTGGCGACCTGTCCAGGGTGTACCCCGCCTTTCGCCCGAGAGCAGCTGGGATTGGCGGGATAAGCGGTTGACGATGGATTGATGGATGGAATACCGGGCAAAAACCTCAAAGCAGTCTCAAAAAGGGATGTTTCACCATGGGTTATTGGGCTTTCTGTTCTGCTGCCCTCACTGACTATCTGAGGGCATCACAGGCTTGGACAAGAACCAACAGTAGACATTCATTCACTTGAGTGTCCTAGGCTCAGCCTAGTATATAACTGAACTTTCAATGTTGTAGCTGTTACTAATGTTGAAGAGTTAGGGTTAATATTAACCTAGTTAGGGCCTCCTTATCAAGAAAAATAACTTTCATGCCTTTTTTGTAAATTCTATTTTGTGTCAGAAAATGCTTTGATATCCATTTATTTCTGTGACAAAACCATTTTTTTATTTTGCAATGTTCTTTTCAGAACAGGGAAATCGATTGAGATAATGGTACACTGATTACAGAGGATAACCAGTAGCTACAAGTTGGATGTATAGTAAAACACAGAACATGGTACATGGATTGAGATAAGACAGTTCACCAGAGACAATGCTCTCCCCAACATTTTATGTTTGTTTATTGTTATAAATGAAACTTACAGTGATAGTTTACATGGTTTGAGTGTTTGATTTGAAAAAAAATCAGTGTTTAAGTGTTTTTATATATCTTGTACTATACATCACCTATACAGCAGTATCTGGCTAAAGAATGACAAAAAAAGTTGTTTTGTAAGTATTCTTAATGGTATTTTAGTGTTTGTCATTTCCTGGAAAACAATAAAAAATGTTGAAGACTCATCCTGAACTCAGTATATTAATTTTGCGTCCAATGAAATGCCGTCTCAATTTTTATGATGCTGCTGGAGCAGAATGTTTGCAGGGACTGGCCAGTCCTCGCTGATAACTGTACAAAACACAACTTTATAATGTGTACAAAAACACTTTATTCATTGATTTGGGTGAAAGTGGATCATATTTGTGGATCAACGTGGAGATCATCTTTTATGGAGAGAATATTTGCCGGTCTTCCCTGTGATGTCCTCCAGATACTCTGCCTCAACTCTTGATGGTTTACAGAGTTTCCTGATGGACAGATTTGTGCAAAACAAACCATGACATTTTACATAAAGGCCATGTCAACACTGACATAATCAACAATCAAATGGAGAAACATTATTTGGGTATGTGGTGATGGTGGGCCAAGTGCCAGTTGTACCAGTGTGGCACATCAAGTTTAGTTTCTCATCATAATAAAATAAAAAATTCATTTTCTGCTAATTAATTTGGTTTAGTGTAATGTGGAATATGTTGTTACGATGACAAAAATTGCTTCTTATAACATAATAAGTCATGTAGTAAGAATAAGAAAAATATGTAATTATTACATGAAAATACCTTATCATAACATGTAAACACTTTAGTTATAATGAGAAACTAAGAAAATATAATTTTGTTGTGGTTTCCGCACTACACTGTCAAAACGCCCACATGGTGCTATATTTAAATGATCACAAGCTGTAGCTTAAATAAGATTAAGTGTTAAGTTTGATTTAAACATAGTGATCCCTCGCGCTCTTTTTTAAATTTATTTGAAAGGGACCCCACATAATAAACGTAAATTTCAGTACTTGAAATCTCTCGCATTATCCAGAGACATGGCTGAAAGCTCATTTTCATCCCTAAATGATTACCATAAGGGCTGGAAGTGAGGTAGCTGATCACTCAGGTAGGTTGGTAGTTGGACAATTTCATATTGTTTTATTGAACTTAAATTAATGGATGGACACAGCTGTACTGTCTAGTTTGGATTTATGCAGGTCATCCATTGTTTACAAAAAGGGGCGGAACGTCCTGTCTTCCACCAAAGAGTGTGAGAGGTTTCTCAGTTCTCGGGGGTGAAAGACTGTCTTGTAGCCAACAAGCTCAAGAAGAGGTTGGCAGGCAGTCTGAGCGTAAACCACCATGTCGAAGGAGAGCTTCACCCTCCAGTTCTCAGCGTTAGCAGCAGAGTCCCGAACTGTGGTGAACTTCTGCCGGGACGACAGATCACTGCTGCCCCGGGTGTTGTTCATGATCCAATCCTCCACACTGTGGTGCAGAACTAGACCAAGGAAGCTGTAGAGCTCCCTGGTCTTCTGGAGTGGATACCTGGCCAAGTCTTCATACCTGACCAAAGACAGGAAAGGAGAAAGGATCATTCAGTAAATTCTTGTCCCCCTACAATAACTTGTGCTACGTACAGAGGACAGTAATTATTCTACTACCACAAGAAGTTGCTTGTCACTAAAATGTAAAGAATTGTGCTCTTTCGAGTTAACAGAAGCACATTTTTAACAAATCAAGTTATCTTCTAAATATAGTTAGAGGCTACATGAGATTTTTGGAAATACTCAATGTTGTATTCCACTCAGAAAGTGGAAACTAGTTAGCCAAGCTAGCTAACGTTCCCAGTGCACTATGCATTTTGTGCATGCTGGGTGCCATGCTAGATATTTCAGAATACTTACATACTGTGGAGGGGAGGGGGGGGGCAGGGGCAGGATATCAAAAAAAACTAATAAAGATCCTTTTTAGGGCCAATCTAAATACCTAATGTAACTCCAGAGAGGAACAGAATGAAATTTGTGGGAGGGGTGGTTAAGAAAATGTAGGGGCAAAAAGAGAGTTGGTTTAAGAGGAAAGAGTTGTGTTAAAAACTGATGGTTGCCAGTCACTGTCTGCACCTGAAACTAACCACTTAGTCACTGGCACCACCAATGAAGCAAACGTTGTTTGAGTCTGACAGACAGCATCGCTGGTGAAGGTGAATGGATCAGAGTAGTTCCTCAGAACTGAGCGCTAAAACTTACATTGTGAGCAAAGATTGAATGTGCACAAATATAATCCCTGTCCTTCTCACCTGAGCAGCATGTACCTCCCTCTAAGCCATGCAGGTCTGGCCAGGCCCATGGACACAGACCTTAGGAAGTCCTCACACACTGTGTTGATCTGCCCTAGGTCCAGGTTGTGGGGTCGACGTCCGGTTGCTCTCCACAGACGCCACAGCCGGTAAGTGTCTCGAAATGTCTCAATCCGAGATGCCAGGATGCCGCGTGGATCTCGAATGAGCTGGACCACCTGATCATAAGGAATGACGACAGATTTTTACAAATTTGTGAACAATAATAGTCTTTTAGTGTTGTTTTAATAATTTTGTTCAGTCTATTTGGTATTCTGTTTCATAATGGCAGCGGTGCCAGCATTCAATATACATTCATACAACACTACCTTCCTCCTCATGCTGCCTCCATCTAACTCAAATTGGTGTGAAAACAACACAGAAGACATTACATTTATCTGACGCATTTATCCAAAGCGACTTACAATTGCTATACATGCCAGAGGTCGCACACCTCTGGAGCACCAAGGGGTTAAGTGTCTTGCTCAGTGACACATTGGTTGGATGGGTCACAGTGGGGGAGTGAACCTGGGTCTCTCACACCAAAGGCATTTGTCTTATCCACTGCGCCATCACCACCCCGAAGACAGCACCCTAAATCCAATAATGGGATTCATGATCAGAGCTGACACGAGTAGCTTCCTGTTAGAGAAACAGATACTTCTAGCCACACTTTTAAGAAATAACGTATTATATAGGGTCTAATATTTGCCTCTGCCAGTTCCACAGGTCCAGTCCAGCAGATGTCGACAGAGCGACAAAAAAGTAGGAAGATGATAAGCTCAACTGTCGGTTGTTGTCACATTATATATATGCACTACTGCATATTTGGATTGCTGTAACTATCACAGAAAAGCTGAATATGACAACAAAGTCAAGACAATAGTTTTATTATGTTTATGAAATACAGGAATAAATGTTCATTCAGCATTTATGTTAAATTTAAATTTTTCAATTTAAATACACTACACACACTTTGGCACCACATTGTACGCAGTCATGCCAATAAAGCCACTGAATTGAAACTGAAACAGAGATGACGTAACTCTCTCTCTATATGGCTCAGGAGCAACCCTAGCGACAGAGTATGCTACAGCAACTAGGAGTATGCCCTAGCAAGCGTCCAAGAAAACATTCTGATGCTGCAGATATAAAAGGAACGCAGCATTCAGAAGAAGGAGCACAGTCAAAAAAAGAAAGCACTTGACAGCAAGGACAAAGTACTGGCTTAGCTTTTCCTCAGGGAGCACTGAGAGAAGAGGAGGGACTGAGGGCAGCTACAGGCTATGTCTGTATTTCAGAACAAGAGCCTGGGGCGAGCTCACCTGTAGTTTGTTTAGTTACCCTCACTGCCAGATGGGGAGACAAAAGTTCAACACTGCAGGTTTCAGTTTAATTTACTGCTGTGAATGAGACAAAATCTGAAGTATGAAAACATCTTGGTTGAAAGGGTGTGTATGAATGTGAGCACTTTAAATATGCTCATAACAAGAACGCCACGTAGTCTTGACATCTCCATTTCCCACATGCTTTGTTTCAGTTTTTAATGGGGACAAACACATATTTGTGGCAGCTTCACATTGTGTTTATCAAGTAAAACACGCGTTATTAGTCTTACTGCCTCTGAAGTCGTGCCTTCAGGTTCAACCCTGTGTTTTCGGAGTTTTTGAGCCGTTACATTCTCAGTGTTTTGCCATCGAGTCAAGTCGAGTCTCATAACAGTTGAAGTAGCAAGTCTACAGCTCTGATCTGAATGAACAAAACTGTAACACTAAATATACGCTGTGTGCAAAATTATTAGGCAAGTTGTATTTTTGAGGATTAATTTTATTATTGAACAAATACCGTGCTCTCAGTCAATCCAAAATGTTAATAAACCCTCAATCCTGAATATTTAAGAAGGCAAAAGTGAGGTTTTGGCTTTCTTAGGAGAATATATGTGTGCACAATTATTAGGCAACTCTTAGTGTGCAGAAGTATTACGCAGAAAAATGAATTTTTTTTTTAAATAAACGACAGTTTATTTTAATCTGTTAAAGTGAGAATTAGAGAAACAAACAACTCAGTTTACAAATAAACATTTCTGACATTTAAAACAACAGATAAGTGACCAATATAGCCACCCTTCTTTTCAATAACAGTTATAAGCCTTCCATTCATGGAGTCTGTCAGTTTCTTGATCTGTTGATGATCAACTTTTTGTGCAGCAGCCACCACAGCCTCCCATACACTGTTCAGAGAGGTGTACTGTTTTCCTTCACCGTAAATCTCCCGTTTAAGAAGGGCCCACAAGTTCTCAATAGGGTTTAAATCAGGTGACGAAGGGGGCCATGTCATAATTCTTTCATCTTTAAGGCCTTTACTGGCTAGTCCAAGTGGAGTACTTCGATGCATGCGATGGAGCATTGTCCTGCATAAAAATCATGGACTTCTTGAAAGATGTAGACTTTTTCCTGTACCACTGCTTGAAGAATGTATCTTCTAAAAACTGGCAGTAGGTTTGGGAGTTCATTTTGAATCCATCTTCAACCCGAAAAGGTCCAACTAGCTCATCTTTAATAATACCAGCTCATACCATTACCCCACCTCCACCTTGCTGTCGTCTGAGTCAAAGTGGAGCTCTGAGCCTATTACTGATCCAGCCACGGGCCCATCCATCTGGTCCGTCTAGAGTCATTCTCATCTCATCAGTCCATAAAACCTTTGAAAAATCTGTCTTCAGATATTTCCTGGCCCAGTCTTGACGTTTCAACTTATGTTTCTTGTTCAGTGGTGGTCGGATTTCAGCCTTCCTGACCTTGGCCATGTCTCTGAGCACTGAACACCTTGTACTTCTGGGCGCTCCAGGTAGGTTGCAGTTCTGGAATATGACAGCACTGGAGGATAATGGGTTCCTGGTCGCTACACGTTTGATTCTTCTCAAATCTTTGGAAGTTAATTTGCGTTTTTTTTTCTCAACACGTTTCTTGCGACTCTGTTGAGGTTTTGCTACAAAACGTTTGATGGTTCTGTGATCACGCCCCAATATCTTAGCAATTTCTAGAGTACTGTATCCCTCTGAAAGACTTTTTACAATTGTTGACTTTTATGAGTCAGTTAAATGAGGAAAAGAAGCTGCCTAATAATTATGCACACCTGATATAGGGTGTTTTTTCTCCTTAGGCCACACCCTCCCTCATTATACAAAAACACATCACCTGAAATGCTTAAATCCAATAAGCATTCAAGTTTATACAGCTTGGAGTTGGAAAAAATGCATAAAAATGATGATATGGTCAAAGTAATTCTGCACACAGTGTAATAATAACAGTTGTAATCATTTATCTACCTTCAGGTTGAGTCTTGGGTCCTCAATCAGCGCTCTGAGGTCACTGATTTGGGGAATCCGGACCGTCTTGATGGCTGCATGGCGCTTTGCTCTACAGGCATCAGCGGCCAGCGACACATTGAGCGGCCCACACCTCCTCACACACTCCCCCTCATCAGCCAGCACCATGCTCTGCTCCTCTGGGCCTAGAGGAGCCTCACATACAGGAGGGGAGCACAGAGACCTGCCTAAAGACAGCACACACACAACATAAGAAACTGTAACACAAGGACAATGCAATGCAAAAGCAGTTACATAAATGAAACATTGCTGTAGTTTCAATATCATTATGTGATAAAGTGCTGACACATGTCTCTTACTAGCTCCTCTTCGGAACAGCTTGTCAGTGGAGTGGTTGGGAGGACGGGGTCGTATGTAACTCTCCAGACTGTTGAGGTGACAGTGGTACAGAGACCTCAGCAGGTCTCTGGCTGCTCCCAGCATCACCCTCCTCTCAGCCAGGCTCCGACTCTGCGCCCACCGAGGAAGCAGCGCCAACTGGACATGGTACAGAGGCTCAAACAGGTAGAAGACCTTGGACATGAAAACATATCAACATATGAGTTACAGTGCACTTCTAAATCAATACTATTTGAATAAAATAGCCATCATATTTCAGTGGCTGTTATCATGTATCAAACTAATGTGCCAAACATCTTCAGAAAGCTCAACTCCTAAATCCTTCTCCCAAGCCTCTTTTGTCCTTTCCCATGTGGTCCTTTTCAAAGGGGTCCAATTACATAAAAAGAATCTAACTCACTCCTAGGTGACAGGCGAGGAAAAGCAGGAAACATTTGTTTGGCAATATTGCGGATTTGGAGATACGTGAATAATGTGATCCAGGTCCAGGACTATGATCTATGGCTAGCAATTCAATGGTCGAGAATATGATCCGAAAATATGTCACCAAGAAACTGCAACCCATTTATATGCCATAACTGGAAAGACCTGTCCAAAGGCGAAAATGTAATTATTAGTTATAAGGAAGAGCCACTTGCTTGCTTTAGTCCAAAAAAATATCTTCTAAACTGCGTCCATATTCTTACTGAGGCCATAATCTCTGGCTTTAAAACATGTTCATGTTTGCTAAGTGTCAGAGGGGAAGTTATCATAGATATTAGGTTGGACTGTTGTTCCATATGCACCCATATTAAGAACTCCAGTACAATTTTTTCTATACTGCACTCCAACCTCTCACAGACCTTTGTATATTTATAATTCAGCCTGTTAAAACAAAAGATGCCCACTTCAGGCCTGAGGCATGAAATGCCTTCCCAAAAGGTTTTCCTTTTTCATCCTCACTGTGCCATACTAATCAGCAGCACAAAAATTCAGTCAGTGAGAGTCATGTAGAGTGGTTAGTGTCCTTTGTTGCCACAAAATAAATCAATAAATCAAATATATCCCCTGTGTTTTTCCGATGGCCTAGTGGTCCAAGACAGAGACCGTGACTGCAAAGATCACCACTTTAAATCCAGCTCGGGAACCTTGTTGTGTGCATCCTCCTGTTTCTTCCCACTGTCTGTTGGGAGCGCTCCTCAAACACGTTCAAATTTGTTCTTTAAATTGTTTAATGAATATACGTTAAAACAATGTGTTTGGACCCTACCACACCGCTTGTGGCTATATTTGTTTAGCACATTATCGTCTAAAACTGAATTTGAACTCATGGCTGGGATTTAGTGTGGCCAAGGATTTCAACAACGTCAACCGGAGGAACGTCCTGCCGAGATATCACCAATACATCAGCTGTCCTAAACGTGGTGAAAACACACTGGACCATGTGTGCGGCTCTTTTTGGGACAGATATAAGGCCCTCCCCTGCCCTTCTTTTGGCAAATCAGATCACATCTTAGTTCTGCTTCTGCCTTCCTAAAGGACAGACTGGTGACTCGGACCAATCAGTAGTATTGGACATAATAAATAGGCCTTTGTAGATCATGTCCAGTGAATTGCATTTGCTACTGCAGACTCCAAGTTTTATACACATTTCAGAGATGATCAAAAGAAACAGGATATGTTAGTGTGGCGTGTGAAAGCAATGGTTCTTAATACAATCTCAAATGTTTAATTAACACTGAAGTCATTAGCAAATAATTGCAAAGAGCATGTTCAAGTTCAGTGTTTTTGAAATAGCAAACAGTGCATCTGATGTTTTTTCAATAGTATGATTGATATGAAACAGGTCATAGCCATCTCACATTCTAACCTCTGGATGCTGATTGAACAGCTGACCCACAAATGAGGATCCGCTCCGCGTGGTGGCCAGAATCAGGATGTGGGTTCTTTTGTTGCCATTATAGGAAGGGAGGGAGAAGGAGGGGGAGGAGGGCATGTGGGAGAGGATCTCATCACAGCATTGGTCCAAGCCCTCGAGCGTCTCCCGGCTCACTCGAGTCAGATCTTTGAGGGTGCAGTTGATAGAGTGGCTCGCGGGAGCCAGGCCCACAGAGCACAGCAGGCGTAAAGGCTTTGCGGAGAAGGTGCGGATGGCCGTGTACTGGATGGCTATTGAAGCTAATGCTAGCAGCACCATGAACTTCCAAGAACACTGCATGGTGGCTGGACAGACCCAGCAGGTAGCAACAGCACTGTCTGCAAGACAAGGAAAGAGGAAAGACATGAAGAGGACAGGAGACAGGGAGATATTTAGACTGTTGCCTTTTGTTTTCTTCACGGTTCTGGTTTACTCTTACTGCTTTAACAACCATGTTTCCAGCAGCACAAGGCAGCTGATAAACAAACTGTACACTACCTGCCCAGCACCAAACAGCACACAAAGGTAGAGACTAGCCTGGTGAACAAAGTGGAGCGTTTAGCAGCTTCAGAGACAATGCAGGGAAAGTAACAGACAGATTGTGACAGAGTGGTGATGTAACTAGTAGCAGGGTTTTGCAATATAAAAATTTAAAAAACCAAACCAAAAACCTTTCTGTGTTAGGACTGTCTCTCTGCTCCAGGGTGCGTCCCACTGAGGCGCCTGTGAGCTGCACTTTATCAGAGGTGGTGAAGTTAACATTTATGGTGAGAAGTGTTCTCTGTTAGTTTCGTTAGTCTCATCCAGTACAGTCCCAAACTGTTCTGTGTCTGTCAGACGGGGGGGCTACTATTTAAGAAGACCAATAACGCAGAAAAACGCACAATAGAGATGGGAGAGGCAGACTTTTAAAAATATTATGGGTTGTCATTAGTCTCGTAATATTACAACTGTTTTCTCGGCATGTCAGAACACAGATGTGTGGGAGAGATTCTGAATGTGCAGAAAGTTTTGAACATGAGCAGAAAACCTGTTGAAACACAGGAGCTATTAAAGTCCAGGAGTTTATAAATGAATACTATGAATTAATTTGTCATTGAGGTGAAAAGGTGCCACATGCACATTTAAAGAGGTTACTTAGCCAAACGAAATACACAAAAGAGGAGGGCAGACTAAATCATGTAGGGATGATATTACATTACATACAAAAGTTGATCCACAGGAAAATACAAATCTGAAAGCGATACAGAATGCCTGAGAGCCTTCCTACATTATATTCTATTTTTTAAATTTTGAATTCTCACCTGAATTTTGTTTCTCTTTGTATAAAGACATTTCCACCATAAATTGATGCAGAAAAGAAGTGAAGAAAATTTCCCAAGAATGTAGGAATTGAAGGGTTTAATGCACAACATTTTCTGGGGGAAGACCCCCAGAGCCCCCACTTAATATGTCTAACCCTCAAATGTCAACACAAAACCTAAGTCTTGCATTTCAACAACTAAAATATTCTAAATTCACTGGAATGCAACAAAACAGTCTCTGAAATGACACATTTTCTGGGGGGGAAGATTCTCAAATACCTGGTTAGGTTTGCCCCTGCTAATGTGCTCGGTGACGGCTGGATGTGTGAACAGGCAGCTTTTCAAGTTGAAAAAAATTAAATAAAATGGTGGAAATCAACTTCAAATTTCATTGGGTCTATATGGCATACTAATCTAGACCTGATATGAATAGTGCAATGATATAAATTATGTTACGAACTGGCCTTGTATAAATAACATTTAATTTATTAATCAAATGGGTTAATTAAACTGCTCAAAAAAACATTAAGGAAACACTTAATCATCACACCTTGTCAGTTAAACTTCAGGGATATCAATCTGTCCAATAAGGAAGCCTAAGTTATTGTGATTTAGTGTCACCTGTTTTGGTTCAAATGAAAGTAATAACAGTTGCACTGGAGAGGCATCAGCAAGACCACCTCTAAACAGGAAATGGTTTTGCAGGTGGTGGCCACAAAACATATGTGCCATTGCGAGAAGGTTGGCTGTGTCTTCCAACACAGTCTCAAAAGCACGGAGGAGATACCAGAAGATGACCAATCCACTAGGAGAGAGCAGGTTCACCCTGAGCATGTGACGTGAAAGAGTCTGGAGACGCCGTGGTGAACGTTATGCTGCCTGCAACATCATGCAGCATGAGGTGGGTCAGTGATGGTCTGGGGAGCCATATCCTTGAAGGATCGCACAACGTCCTCCTCCTGGTGCAGGACAGTACCCGGCCTCATGTGGCCAGGGTGTGTCCTGGATGACAAAAGCATTGATGCCACTGACTGCCCCTAACGTTCCTCAGACCTAACTCTAATTGAGAACCTCTGGGACGTTATCTATCAGTGCTTCCGAGGCGAACAAGTAGGCCTAGTACCACAAACTGTCCAGGATCTCACTGATGCCCTTATCCAAGGATTCCACAGGACATCATCTGTTTTCTCATCAGCAGCACACCGGCACGTGGGGGCCATACACACTAAATCACATTATGATTTGCCCTGATGAAGTCAGGCAGGTTGGATCAGCCTGTGATTTCAGTTTTTTACTTTGATTTTCGGGGTGATTTTGAATTTTGAATGAATGTCATTTCGTTTTCACTGAATGATACAATGTAAAGATTTTGAACTTACAACTTTTTTGTTCATCTAGATTTGATGTGTAATTTAAGTGTTCCCTTAATTATTTTGAGCAGTGTATTATCGCCTTTCTGCATCTATCTATCTGTCTGTCTATCTGTCTATCTATCCATCTCTCTGTCTGTCTGGAACAATCCAGTGACAGTAGCCTATATTAGCACACCGATGCACAAGCTAACCCAGCTGTCTTTATGTCTCTCTCTATCCGAGAGCTTCCTGCTGGGTGTGATGTTCCGCTGCCATGCCCACCACATCCACAGGCCCGCTTCATCGCCGACCACCGGAGACACGCTGCTCCCCCCGGGCCTGATGATGGGCCACATTGAGTTACCTCTCAGCTGTGTTCCTGCCGTCAGCAGGAGGCGGCGGGCTGGCTGTGGCGGAGACATGATCCCGCTGCTGTGTGGCTCCGCCGCTGGGGCAAACACCGACCTGCGTCTGCATGGGATCCACACGGGGACAATGAGGACATGGCGAAACGGACGTGTCAGGAATCGTGACGGCCGGCAGTCACATCCACATCAACAGGGTGCCGGACTAGAAGCCGGTGTACGTGAACGGTACAGGTCTCTTTCCCTCTCTCATAATCTCTCTCTCTATCGCGCCACCTCTCTCTCTCTCTTCCTCCCTCTTTACACAGCGTCCCTCCACCCCGCACCCTCCATCCCTCTTTAGTTCAGATTTGTTTAAAGTAAATCTCAAAACAATAGCCAATCAAAGAGTTGGTAGATGCATTATTCCCCATCGCCACACGGAGATCCCTTTCTGTGTTTGTAACAGCTGAATCAAATATGACGTCTCAGCATCTGATATAGTCTAAATAAATGCTGTGAAGAAAAACAAAGACAGAGTATGTGTAACAGACTATTGAAGCCTCAGAGCTGGACCTTGGATCCCCTCTTTAGGAGATGTAGACAGTAGGAACAAACACAGCGTTGTAGGCTGAGAAAAGCAAACTTTATATTTTTGCAGCTTGTCTGTTATTTGGATAATTATTTAGAAGTAACCGGCTGCATTCAATTTGGAGATCTAGGTGGTAATACACTATTAAATCAGAAGATGGTGCGCTTGTCCTTCTGGCTTTAACCCACATGTCCAGATCATGTGCAGCTCAGTGATGAGTGAGCACTGGCCTGGTCCAGAGTCCAGACACTAACTCTTGACAGATCCACAGTGCTTTTGCAACACATGGATCTCTTGCTGCTGGTCCAAATGGTCCCCTAGGTCTGATGCAGGTAAGAACAGCAGCCAAGAACTTTTTCCATGTACATGCAGGACATTGAGTATTGTTTTTGTTTTTTAATTGTATTTTATTAGTGCAAAATAATTTCAATTCAATTCAATTCAATTTTATTTATATAGCGCCAAATCACAACAACAGTTATCTAGACCGTACTCTGTGATGATATTTACAGAAGCCCAACAGTTCCCACCAAGAGCAAGCACTAGGCGACAGAGGCAAGGAAAAACTTCCTTTTAAGAGGCAGACACCTCGAGCAGAACCATGGCTCAGGGTGGGCGGCCATCTGCCTCGACCGGTTGGGGTGAGAGAGAGAGAGAGAAAGAGAGAGAGAAGAGAGTGAAAGAGAGAGAGAGAGAGAAAGAGAGAGAGAGAGAGAGAGAGGGATGTAAGGAGAGAGAGAGGGGAGGGAGGCAGCCTACACAATATACACACAGAGGTACAGACAGCGAAGGTAATGTTGCTATAAACTAAATGAAAAATGGTACAGATATTTATAATAGTGTTAATGGTAACCATCGTAATGTTAATGATTATAATAACAATAAGACTAGCAACAATAGTCGTTGCAGTAGAGGGTGTCGAGCAGGAACACGGGGGCAGCAGGCGACCCGCAGCCACAGATCCAGACTCCACAGCTCCAGAGCCAGAAAACCTGCAGGAAGTGATAGGAGGAGAGAGGAGAGGGACGAGAAAGCACAAGACTACCAGAAAGGGGAGAAGTTGTGTTAGTAACATGCAATAATGGGATAAGGTTGCATACAGAGGGAGAGAAAGTAGAGGAGAGAGGAGCTCAGTGCATCATGGGAAATCCCCCGGCAGTCTAGGCCTATAGCAGCATAACTAAGGGATGGTTCAGGACTACCTGAGCCAGCCCTAACTATAAGCTTTATCAAAGAGGAAAGTCTTAAGCCTACTCTTAAATGTGGAGATGGTGTCTGCCTCCTGAACCCAAACTGGAACCTGGTTCCACAGGAGAGGAGCTTGATAGCTGAACGCTCTGGCTCCTAGTCTACTTTTGGAGACTCTAGGAACCACAAGTAACCCTGCATTCTGGGAGCGCAGTGCTCTGGTGGGGTAGTAAGGTACTATGAGCTCTTTAAGATAAGATGGTGCCTGACCATTAAGAGCTTTGTAGGTAAGAAGAATGATTTTAAATTCTATTCTGGATTTTACTGGAAGCCAATGCAAAGAAGCTAAAACAGGAGAAATGTGATCTCTTTTCCTGGTTCCTGTCAGAACACGTGCTGCAGCATTCTGGATCAGCTGAAGAGTCTTAATGGACTTTTTCGAGCAGCCTGATAATAAGGAATTGCAGTAATCCAGCCTAGAAGTAACAAATGCATGGACTAGTTTTTCTGCATCATTTTTAGACAGGATGTTCCTGATTTTCGCAATATTACGTAGGTGAAAAAAGGCGGTCCTTGAAATTTGCTTAATGTGGGACTTAAACGACATGTCCTGATCAAAGATAACTCCAAGATTCCTCACAGTGGTGCTGGAGGCCAAGGCGATGCCATCCAGGGAAACTATATCTTTAGATAATGCGTCACGGAGGTGCTTAGGCCCCAGAACAATAACTTCAGTTTTATCTGAGTTTAACATAAGAAAATTACAGCTCATCCAGGTTTAACATCCTGAAGGCACATTTGAAGTTTAGCTAACTGATGAGTTTCATCTGGCTTGATCGATAGATATAACTGAGTATCATCTGCATAACAATGAAAGCTTATGGAATGTTTCCTGATAATATTGCCTAAAGGAAGCATATATAAAGTGAAGAGGATTGGTCCAGACCCATTGACAAATGATATTAAACACAGAAAAGTGTAACAGAAAACCTCCTATCACCAGTCCTTCAAGTCAGATGTAAAGTAAAGTGCAAATGCAGCTTATCACATACTCCCACCAAACAACTATGTGCAAACGTTTACTATCGTCACATTTACAGCCCAATGCCTCAGGTGCAAAAAGTAACTATTTACATTTAATATCATATTCGTTTCTATCTGTCTTGACACATTTACTCTCTGAAGGTGGCTTCTGTGTTGGAATAGCTCAGTATCACTACAGATAACTTGATTTATATAGCGTCAAGTCATAACAGAAGTTATCTCATTGCACTTTTAATGTAAATTAAAGTACTGTACTTAGCTTATATATATATTATTATAATAATATTCAAAGCGCTTTTACATTACGTCATCATTCACCATTCACACACTGGTGGAACAGCCACCAGAGGCAATTCGCCCAGCATGCAGCCTGGAGGAGCTGGGGATTGAACCGCCAACCCGTCCAATTAACAGGCAACCCGCTCTACCTCCTGAGCCACAGCCACCCCCTTAATATAGAGCAGGTCTAGACTGTACTCTTTGTAATATTAACAGAGACCCAACAATTCCCACCATGAACAAGCAGTGGGCGACAATGCAGAAGCAGAACCTAGACTCGGGGTGGGCTGACAGCTGAGAGAGAAAAGAGAACACACAGTAGAATCAGAATGCTTTATTGTCATTGATCAATAAGTGCAACTTTCCTCAATGTGCAATCAAATATTGATCAAAAATAAATAAAAGAATTGACAGACATTCACGCATACTGGTAAAAACGAGTATCCGCAGTAGTGTTGTAGTACTCGAGACTGGTCTTAAGACCACTTTTGGATGGTCTTGGTCTCGTCCCGGACTCGACCGCATTTGTACTCAGTCTTGTCTCGATTTTATTTTAAGACCAGTCAAGACCGTAACTTTGGGAATATCAAGAAATTGCTTTTGCATCGTCTGATTTAATTGTTACCATCCTAACTTTGATTGGATGTAAAACTTATTGCTTCAAATAACCCTAATTAAAAATGGGTTGTTACCGTTAATGACTGTCCCCCCTCCCTGTGGATCTTTCAGATCAATTTGAGAAGTACCTGTGATCTCGTTCCACATTTTATTGTGTCATGTAATGTGGAGAACTGGTCTCGGTCTCGACTACAACACTAATCAGCAGTAATAAAAGATAGATGCATAGTGTATCAGTGTGCACTCAGCTGTGATGATGCTGACAAAAAAAAAAATAACTCACGCATATTTAAATAAAATATGAACACATTGAGGGTGGGTCTCCAGCTTCCTCCCACCATCCAAAGACATGCAGGCTAGGTTAGGTTTGTCTATGTGTGACCTGGCAACCTGTCCTGTACCCCGCCTTCTGCCCGATGTCGGCTGGGATTGGCTCCAGCCCCCCACAACCCTGTACACAGGATAAGCGTTTGACGATGGATGGATGGATGAAAACATTGCACAAGTTCCAGCTGGAGATCATCTCACTCAGCCACGACACTGCAACAATCCCAAGTTCGCCTCACGGTTTCACTGTTTTTGACAGTTCTTTGGAACATGTGGAAAGAACCTGTTCAGGATAACATATCCCTTCAATCAGTCACTGTTGCAGTGCTCTGCCAAGGGTCCACCACCTAATAACATAGCTTATGATTGGAGAGGAGAGTCTACGTGGCTGCCAGTGACTTAATTCACCAAAACAGTAGCCGTTTGTATGGTTGGCACTGGCTAAATTAGTCAAGAAATAGTCCACAAATATGTCAGTCCAACGACTCATGACTCTGACACACGTGTTACAGGCCCCAGGCACAGGGCATGTGGACAGATAATAAAACCTGTAAAACAGGAGAAATGAACAACACTGGAAACTTGCTGCCGTTGGTCTTGACGGTCTTACCAGAATTTATTTAATAAATACAGTCATTTAAGTCGATCAATAAAGTATTTTTTGCACATCACTCATTTTCAACTAAGTTACTAAATTAGATAAAGTTAACATACATCTATCAAAAAAAAAAAACCACACATACACAAAAAAACCACACATACACAAAAAAACCACACAAACATACAACCATAACATACTGATAAGGAATGTAAAACTTTTTTTTTTTTTTAATTAACAGGCTAAATAAACTGTTTATCACAATAGTTATGTACTAACTGACAAAGATGTTGCTGTCCTCAATTTACCAATGGTTTATAATATTCCAGGCAAGATAATGACATTTAATTGGTATGGATGACCTTTAACCAACACCAGACATTTTTTATAAACAAAATACAAATAAAACACTTTAGATGTAAAACTAAGAAAATGCCGAGGAGCTGTAAGCATTAACGGTGGACATTTACATTGAGTAGGGAGCCGGAGTGCTAACATTTGTGTTTGTTTTGCACTTACTGTCATCCTTAACGGCCGTCCACATAGCAGAGTGCAGGAAACACAGTGAATACCAAACACAACTTCAACACAAGAGATAATGATTCACTATACCAAATTCTCGGTTTTGTGCTTTTGTGCAACTTACTGACCTGTAAGAGGAGAAATTAACACTGGAAACTTGCTGTTGGTCTTGACGGTTGTACCAGAATGGCAAGATTACGACAACTACGTCATC